CTCAGTAGTTGTGGCACACGGGCTTAGTTGCTCCGTGGCATGTGGGATCTTCCCGGACCAGGATTGAACCTGTGTCCCCTGCATTGGCAGATGGATTCTTAACCACTGCGCCACCAGGGAAGTCCCTGTTTGTATTTTTAAGTCATATAAGTACTAATTCCATACTATTAGAAGTTTCAAGCATTATGCAAATAGGAACCACAAGGGTGTACATTCCTTCTTTGGTTTCACATCTTTGTGTGTATGTTCTTATCATTGTCATCCTTAGTATAGAGTCGTTTTGGGGTTTCAGAAATGCCCCCAAGGTTATAAAATTACTCAGTCGCTGAACGAAACGAGCTTCCTCCTCAATTTTTTCTCATGACATTTATAAAGGCTTTCTTTAAAATTGACAAAGTGATTTCACATACAACACATATTATCCTTAATCAGTCCTCACAGGAGTATATCAATGTCATTTTACAAAGGAAGGATGAAGTCCAAAGAGATAATGAGATGCTTTAATTTTCACTTCTGACAGGAAACCAATCTTGGATTAAAATCCAGGGCCTTTATTTCCCTTCCTTGGACATCTCCAAGTCAAACAAGTTACGGATATATCAGATCTGTATAGTGTGTTGCCTTTTATTTGTATTTACAATCTTGAACAAACATTTCAATTGAAGATTTAGTTATATTCAAGTACAGTTAGCCTTGTGTTGTTAACATAACACTACTTTAAATAAGTAATAAAATAGATGTGTTAAAATCATTTCATTATCCATCTATACTTCTATAGTTATATGAACCTGAAATGTTCTATTTGAGGTATTGTCCTACTTTATCAGTTTATTCCCTTGCAATTACCATCTTACAGTCGTACCTGTACATGTCAAGGAATTGATCCAGAGACTTGCGGAGCTTCCTTCTCTTTTGGCTGTTCTTGGAGTATGTATTTCAATGGCTGCAAATTTGGTAGAAGCCCAAGTCCTAGAAGATTTAGAATTGATCCAAGTTCTCCCTTACACGTAAGTGTCCTTTTTACTTATGAATTGCACAATGAATATATAAGTACGTTCCTTTAAAAAAATTTTTAATCGTAAAAGAATTAAATACTAACAAGTAGTGACAAAATAGTAACTATATGTATATATATATATATATATATATATATATATGAAAATAGTTTAAAATTCTAAATAATGTAGGTAAAGTCTTTATCAACCCAAATTCCAACTGTCCCTGGCTCCCTCCTTCTTCTCCCCTAACCCCAAAGAGAATCACTGTTAAAAAAAAATCTAGAATTTTATACCCAGCCAAAGTAGGAAGAATAAATAAAGCTATTTGCCAACATTTCAAAGACTCAGTAAGTTTACTACCCACAGCACTACTATGAAAGAATTACTAAAGGACGTAATCCAGAAAGAAGATATATGAAACCGGAACCAATCTGTCCGGAACACGAGGCCATGGTGAGCAAAGAAATTAGTCAACCTTACTGTTAAGTTTAAATAAGTTGAGTGCTTACATTTTTTTAATTGAAGTAACAATAAGTATAATTCAATATTCTTATCAAATCAAGGGTGGGTAGGTAGTGGGAGGGGGTGGGGCACCTATATAAACTAAATGTGGTAATGTTTTATGCTTTGTTTGGAGTTGGGAGGATTTAGATACTGATTAACTCCAAGATCAGTGTTTTTCAAACTTTGTGCTGTGACCATGAGTAAAAAACATTTTATATTACAAACAACTATACAGGCATATATATATTCAAGTAAATAAATAAAACAAAACAATACTTCACCTTATTATATGTAGCAAAAATAATATTTAGATATTAAAAAGTTAATATATCCTATATAGTTATTGCTGAGGATCACTATGATTCAGTAAAATATTTTTTATCAAATTTTATTTCTCTTTTAAATGCTAGTTTTGACCTACTAAACTGATTTCATGGCCCACTAAAGAGTCATGACCCACAGCTTGGAAAACACTGCTCTAGATATTGTCAGAAAAACATATTTGAGAAGTGTATGTTTAAAAATTTTTTAGATGAATACGAATAGAATTTATAACATTTGAACTAGTGGTGGAAAAAAAATCCATTCATCAGTCAGCAAGGTTAGTTTAAAAAATCATTAGGGGCTTCCTTGACGGTGCAGTGGTTAAGAATCTGCCTGCCAATGCAGGAGACACGGGTTCGAGCCCTGGTCCAGGAAGATCCAACATGCCACGGAGCAACTAAGCCCGTGAGCTACAACTACTGAGCCTGTGCTCTAGAGCACACGAGCCACAACTACTGAGCCCGCGCGCCACAACTACTGAAGCCTGCGTGCCTAGAGTGCGTGCTCCTCAACAAAAGAAGCAACCGCAGTGAGAAGCCTACGCACCACAACGAAGAGTAGCCCCCACTCGCCACAACTAGAGAAAGCCCTCGCGCAGCACGGAAGACCCGATGCAGCCAATACATACATACATACATACATACATACATACATACATACATAAATAATTTTAAAAATCATTAGGATACAGGATAAATAGGAATCGATAAA